GTGAAACAGAACTCCGTGCAGGCTCCACTTTGACTCTCAGTCAAGCAGACGTAGAGGAGGAGTGGAAGGTCTCGATTGATTGTGGATGATGGTGGTGTATAGGACACTCCGGTTGGGACCGACTTCGAGCTAAGGCTGCTTCCAGAGCGTCTCAAACGCACCGAGGAGAGACGGGAGGGAGAGAGAGGAGGTGATGCAGGCGATACAACACCACAAGCCTCCATATTGCACGAATCCGATGAGGCCGAACTCAAAGAATATCCCGCTGGGAGAGAAGGATGTGCCGACTGCTCAGCAGCACTATTGAAGAGGGCCTCAGGCACCTCGGGTGTTGTGGTGTGATGGCGAGGACCACCCTTGAAACCAAGGATATTTGCGCTGGGTCGTTTTTGACGTTTCGACGTCCCACTGAACCCGGCGTGATTGGCGACAGCGTGAGCTTGTGAACGGGAAACTGAACTCATGAGGGGATTTATGATCGCCTCGTTGGGATTGCCAATGGTTACGTATACCTTGTCACGTGGACAGTAGTCCTGTACCAGGTAACGATCATTCCTAAAAGGTCAGAAAACAAGGTCTGAAGACGCCGAGAGATACCTTAATGCGGCGACTTTAGTGGACCCAGATTTTCCACTTGGATGAGATTAACCCAAAGGAAAGCAATCGTCCCACTGGATTTTGTTCGAGGATTGCTAGGAAGGTATACCAACGTTTCCCTTTTTATGGATCCGATCGTGAAAGAGGAGGGAGTTGTTCATCTCTGCACGAAAGGGAAGCCTGTCAAGAGTGGCTTGCAAACATTCAACGTCAAACAGTAGAGGGCCAAAGGATGCTCGAGTGGTTCTCTATTCCAAAAGGATAATTAGACAGCTGAAAAATACAGCAAAATGGGAGGTAGGTAACGCCCACACCTGCGATGCATTGTACGAGCTGCGCTCCAAATCCTTTGCATGGGATCAGGCGTCGCAACTATGCGATGAGTGTTTTTTTATCACTTTATGCCATCAAGTTGGCCCCATTTTGTGTCTCCAGTGCATCAAATTAAAAATGAAACACCCTTGGTTTTGTTTACAATTGCATTGCGTTGACGTTGAGAGGCGGTGGAGCGGTCAGATACGCAGCTCACGAGGTGGCGTCGTATGGGAGGCAATAATATGCCCCAAATTGTCGTGCTCGGTGGTCCCCCCTAACCTCAAGTGCAAACTGGTTGGCTGTAATCGGTTACGAGGAGCTAAAATCCTTCCCATTCCAAACAACCTTGGTAAGAAAAGGCCTAAAGTACACGTAAATACAATCCTCCACCTTGTGGCATGACCGCCGAAGGGTGCTGCTATAGCTTCTTCAGAGCAGCTCAAACTCCATTCGACTTGGAACAGAGATCAGAGCAGTAATCTC